AATTTAAAGTACTTTTTACGGTTTTTGATTGGATTAGTTATCTGGTATATGCTGCCCTCATGTGATCACTTTATAAAACCTTTTATGTGATCACTTAATAATTGTCACCCCAGACACGATCTAAGACTCTTATTCCTGCTCATCCTTTTCCTTTATATCTTTAATTTTTATAGATTTATATGGATTAAAAAAAAAAAAAAAGTTTACATTTTTAATATCTTTTTAAAATGTTGTTTATTCCAGTGATGACAGCTGAATTTTCAGCAGCCATTATTCCAGTCTTCAGTGTCACATGATCCTTCAGAAGTCATTCTAATATACTGATTTGGTGCTCAAGGAACATTTCTTATTATTATGAATGTTATCACTGTTTTTGCTGCATAATATCTTAATATTATTATTTTTCAAGATTTTTTTCAAATTGTTAATATATCCATATAACACTGATTTATTTTAAATATTATATGTTATGACAAAACGGTTTTCTCTAACTCTAGGTTCATGCCTACATCATCAGTGCTTTGAAGAAAGAAATGCCAAATGTTTTTGGGAAAGAGAATAAGAAAAAGGAGCTCATTGCTAACCTGGGTGACATTTATACAAGGATTGAAAAAGAACATCAGATCTCTCCTGGTGATTTCCCTAAACTCAGTAAAATGCAGGTATGGAAATAGTCCCATTTCTCCCAGAAAATGATTTTAATATATAATTTTTGTTAGGAGTTTCAAAGTACAATACAATAATAAAGTATCAAGTTTTAAGAGAGGTAGTTGTTTTATAACAGTTTAGCCTTGTTTTATGCTATGATTTGAGTTTTATTTTAGTTAAGACTAGTTTTAGTTTAAAAAATATCATCACACCCTATAAGGATAGAAAAGACCTTTTTGACATCTTTTTTTGTCCTCATTATTAGGAAGTCCTCGCTGGTCAAGACTTCACTAAGTTTCAGGGACTGAAGCCCAAGCTGCTGGAAGCAGTGGAGGATATGCTGGCCAATGATATCGCCAAACTCATGACCCTCGTTCGGCAGGAGGAGGCTGCCATGCCCAGCCAGGCTGTCCAGGGTGGTGCCTTTGACGGCACCATGAATGGACCCTTCGGGCATGGCTATGGAGAGGGTGCTAGTGAAGGCATTGATGAGCTGGAGTGGATAGTGGCGAGAGACAAGCCAACTTACGACGAGATCTTCTATACCCTGTCACCTGTCAACGGGAAGGTCTCTGGTGCCATGGCTAAGAAGGAGATGGTCAAATCCAAGCTGCCTAACAATGTTCTAGGAAAGATCTGGAAGCTTGCTGATGTGGATAATGATGGGTACCTGGACGACGAAGAGTTTGCCTTAGCTAACCACCTCATCAAGGTTAAACTGGAAGGTCACGAGTTACCTGCTGATCTTCCTGATCACCTTGTGCCTCCTTCTAAACGAGGACAGTAAACAATTTGGGAAAATTAATATTATCATTGAGCCAATCTTTGTAGAGGTTATGGATGGATGTGGGGAGGGTCTGGAAACATAAAAATATATAAGCAGAATTTATCATATAATTAAACAATATGCATTAGCTACAGGGATAGAGCCAAATAGCTTTTAATTTATCCATCACTACAGTTTGTCATTCTCACTGTTATTATGTTCTTTGTTGTTGTTGTTGTTGTTAGAGCGGTAGTTATCAACCTAATGCTTTAAACAAAAAAATATGAATAAATTAGACCGCATCCTGTTACTGTATTTTTCAAATTCTTGATGTAGCCAAATTCTGTTTAAGCAAGTACGATGGTATGCTGGCAGGGAGATGACTTCATTATGACCAAACTATAGGCTTTATTAGAAAGAGGTATTTAATTATTGCATATCTTACACTGATGCTGCTTAACACTTAAAGTCATGCAGGGAGAAATAGCTCTGCTTGATTTTTAAACTACTTTAGCTTTGCTGATGGGTCCATATTATCTGTATCCTGGGAACACCAGAGCTTTAAAACTTTACCATTTACCATTTGGACTTGTCAATTTGACCTTCGTTTTTTATCACTATAAATGCAAAACAGTGCTGCATTCTTGTATTGTTTGTTCACTGATGTTGTGTTGTCAGCTGTGATGGTTCAAAAGTTTTTATAACTATTCAAAAGGAAGTGTCTATGACAAGACATTCAACAGACGGATACTCCAGTTGTATGATCTGTGTCAGTTGTAGCATCGCTCATATTGGTTTCTGTCTGTTATCGAGTGCCTCACCCTGCTACAATGTCAAAAACTTTTCTATAAGCTTCTCTATGAATACTGTTCATATGTATATTTTTTTTGGTCTAGTTTGCATTAAAAAAACTACCACAAACCTACATTTTTGCTATGAGTATTTGAGTAAGAGTTATCAATAGCTATTGATTAATTTTTAAAATAAGTAATAATCCTCAAAGATGCGAATGGCAATAAATCATAAAACTATTTAATACTTGTACACTATGTTTTCATATCCTCAAATGGTTATACTGATTGTGTGTGCATGAGTAATATACCTGACTTATGCCACTATTAAAAGCTATGCTGGGGCTGTGCCAGGCTTATGAAGGAAGAAAATAATAAAGTATTGCGCTGAAAAGTATCAAAATAGTTACTCCAAAGACACATAATGAGTTTAAAGGAGGTACAGTTGAGATATGAGATTCTAAAAAGACCGTTTAAAGATGAGTGCTAGAATAAATGGTGGTAAAGAGCTCATAAGACCCCCTGTAGATTCTCTGTGGAATTAGCAAGGAGAAATTAGAGGTTAAGATTTGATTTTGCGTTAAGTTATTACTTCTACATTAATAGTGTTGGGGAGTAACTAGTTACATGTAACAGAATTATGTAACTTAATTACAAAATAAATGTAACTAATCTGTTATAGTTACTGAGAAAAAAATGTGTAATTCAATTACAGAAAATGGTTATGATTACAAAGGGGGTTACATGTGAATACTTTCTCACACACAGATTTGGTCGATTTATTGACTGCTTTAAAATATGAGCCACCAATGTTTCAGGAGTTTAGGACACACAATAGGACACATGGTTATTAGGGCGGCCCTTATTGGGGTAATTTTTTTAAAATTGGAAATATTACCCTCTCACCACCTCATTTGTTTCTCCACTAGAAGTATGTAATGTATGCAAAATACATCCAGATAATTTGTCATTTAGGGTATGCTCAAAGAATGTATATTTTTATCAACAGGTAATAGCGAAGGTTTTGTTCACTGATAAAATTTTGACTGTTTCTGATGTCAGATGAGAGATTGTTGAGGCTCAATGGTTAAAGAGAAGGACTTGTAACCCAAAGGTTGGGGTTTGAGTCTCAGTACCGGTAGGAGTTGCATGTGGGGGGAGTGAATGTACAGTGCTCTCTTCCACCTTCAGTAATCACAAAATCAGTTCTCATCAGCAGTTGTAATTTAACTTTTTTTTAAAAAAGATTTTATTTTTGGCATTTTATGACTACATGTCGGAGTGTTACCCACAAGGCTATCGGCACTAATGTAATTTAACATGTTAAAACTAACTGTTCTGTGGCCCTGTACACAGTTTACTAGTGGTTTTGTATAATTATTAATAGCGTGCTTTAATGGTCATGATGACAGAATTTCAACTTTGTTGAGCACACCCAAAACATAATCCAATCTCTGCAAAATTTGGTTTGTTTCCATTTCTCATGAAGGGGAGTTGACTGGGTGGGTGGAGAGCAAAAGATGCCAGTGTTTCCTGTCATAGCTATGCAAGGATTTGATTTCAAAACCGGTATCATAGCTATTAAACTATATCTTATGATTTTAAATCTGTATTTAACCTCAGAACGATCTCAAGGTAAAAAAAAAAGTGCTAAAGTCTGATTTTGTGGTGGCTGTGTTTTAAAATTAAATTATTATAATATTAATTCTAGTGAAGAAGTCTGACGGTAATCAGTGTTGAGTACTACTGTAAGGATAACCCCGCCTGCTTTAAACCTTTCAAAATGATTAACAGTTGAAAACATTTGTTAGAAATTTAGAAAAGTACTCAAAAAGTAATCAAATGTGATCAATTACATTATTTTAATAAAGTAATTGAAATAGTTACACTACTTATTACATTTTAAATAGGGTAACTTGTAATCTGTAACCGATTACATTTCCAAAGAGGCAATTGTAACACATTCAATTCCTCCAATCAGAAACAAGTTAGAGATATAACACTTAATATGCACATACTCAGTAGTATTTTCTCTCTGCCCATGCAAAAGGAGCACAATTTTTTCACCTCAGCAGAATTTTTCCACAGAAAACTGATTTTGAGGTATAAAAGTTACTTTTTGGATGTGCTGTATTTTTTTTTCTGCTTTCTAAAGTTTAGATGACTGCAAATTTGAACTTCCATACATTTTATCTCTAGGTTATTGATAAAAAATTAACATGAAAAACCTATTATTGAAAAAAAAGTTATTCTTTAACTAATTCTATCTTTTTCCATTTCATTAAAGTTTGGTTAAAGACTGTTCTCGACTCATCAGCTGATTGGAGTGAAATATATATTTAAATAATTAAAATCTAGATACCACTAGAATAGTTGCTTAGTCGTCTGCAAAAATAGAAATAGACTTTTGATTTTTGAATGCATGTGATGCCCGACATCTAAAAGTGATTACTTTGAGGTAGGCTTTTATTTGAGATACAGTGGGTTAATATGACTTTTGTGGGGGTAGTTGTAACACTGACTTTTGCATTTAATTTAATATTATAGTCTTGTCCTTATTAGTGAAAATATATCAATTGTATTGTTAATTAGTGCACCTATATTTGTTTCTTGTATCAAAAGATGACAAGCTTATTTCAAGTAGTCTGTGAGTTATGAAAATGTAAAAAAAAAAATGTTACAATTGCCCCCGGTCTCCCCTAACCTTCCCAACACTGTACATAATGTGAGGAGAGACTCTTGGAGCATGTGTACGCAAGAGGGCGTAAAACCCCTCACAGTTCTCCAGCTGATACCTCCGGAAATCACGTGTGCAGATTCCAGCCGCAATCCACCTGCGCGAGCGAGCTGGTGGACTTCTGATGCTGCGCGAGACTGGCGAAAGAAGAGAGAACACGAAACAACACAAGTTGGGGGAAAAGTTGTTTTTATATCCACACCGGTTACTAAATTGTGGCTTAAAAGCAGAGGAATGGATTTGAGGACGTCCTGCCTTTGTTTATTCAATGTTATTCTCCTCGCAGGTAAATTTAAAATTTGCCTTTTTTTCCTGGAGCTCTGCGGTCTCCGTTTGCTCGCGCGCTAACGTTACCTTTCTTCAAAAGTTTTTTTTTGTTTAACTTATTTCATTTTCATTCACCATTTAGATTGTGTTATATCAGAGTTTTATAATGTTACCATTTCAGATGTACTTTCAACTATAAACCAAATTGGCGAAAGTAGTCAGTATAATCGAAGTTAAAGGTTTTTCGTTGAAGGAAAAAAAACGGTCACAAATTTCAAAATCTAAATTATTAAATCTTACTGAGATAGTTACTTATCTCAAACTAAATTGAATAAATTCCCATTTGAAAGAACAAAAATGTTAATAAATACCTTTATTGTAAATAGGTTAATTTATTTTTTATTATTTTATTATAATTTGTACAAAAATGTTATGCATCAAGCAGAATAGGAAAACACTAAATTTACACTTGAAATATAATTCTGCTATAACAGTACTTTATACACGCCTCTTATAGAAGTGTTACACGTGTAATGCCCACATGTTTGGAGAGTTAAATTTGTATTTTTATTTTAATCTGTTGCTACTTCTACATAACGACGCCTTGTTAACAACAACCCAGTCCACGAAGCTCAGTTTAAACAGGCGGTTTGTTTTCATGATGTATATTAAGTCTTGTTTTATGCTGCTGTTGAACCAGTTGTGTTATTTCAGTTTGTTTTAAAGGTCAGATGGAATTATACATGTTCTAGAATACGTTTCCTAAATATTGTTGTTAGATGTTGGCAGTACACAATAGGCTTAACCGTCTTAAAGCCATCAAGAGGGGTTTCTTTCAGGCTGCCATCTGCCAATACAATCTCCACTTGTGCCCTCCTCAAGATGACTCCTCTAGATGTCTGAAACTCGAGGTTGCTTATTATCCAGTCTACATATAAGACCTGATATCGACTGATCCCTTTGGCTTGGAAAAAGCACACTAGTTTTAGCAGTGGACTTGTCTGTAGTTAACATTGATTTTCTGTGAGAGAGGCAGATGCTGTGTAGTAGTTAGGCACTTCTGGTCGTTGACCAACTAGTTAGTGTTTCGTGTGAGGAGGGATTGAGGATAACGCAAGAATTAACACAAACCACCCACTCCTTCTGTTTATTTCTCTTGAGTAACAACTGAAACTGTTTGTGTCATTTTGGTCAAAGGTTACCCGAGTTCTTTAGATAGGGATTCAGATTGCGTAGACTACATTCCAGCACAAGGAAAAAATAAAAACGAGAAAGAGTGGCATGGATAGGGCGATGACTTTCCAGGCCACTGGTTACTGATAAACTAGAGTCTAACAATAACAAGCTTTGTGTACACACTGCTTTTGTTTTAGTGCATATATGGAATGTGTTCCGGTATGTTTTAGAAGGCTTGTATGTGACATTTATTCCTCCATGGTATTAACCTGTCATCACAACAGAATGTTGAGTTTGACATTTGTGTTCTCTGTGTCCTTCTCAGCAGACAGGGATGATGTTTTGGTGCTGGCTACAAGGATATTTCTCATTCAAGGTGTCATTCTGTCATAACACAGATTATTCATAAAGGGAAATGGGGCATGTGAAGTCATGGCATTTTCACAAGTGTAATATATATTACAGATGACGTCGTATGTTATAATATGTAGTTTTATATCATTTTCTATCAAAGTAATTTTAGTAACTGGAGATGTATTAGTGTAAAAAAACTAATAGTTCTCTTTATAGAGTGCAACAGTAGGGATCCGGAAGTAGAAATCCTACTCATTTTCTCCATGGGGGAATTGATTTTTAACGATAACTTATAAAAGATTAAAGAGAGACCTACTGTGAGCTACAAGGTTGTTAACAGATGCTCTATAGCCCTATTCGGACGAGACTAGTTTTACAGTGGGACGTTAGAGAAATTTTTGTTTCACAGACGTACTTTGAGATTTTAATCCCGTCCGAATCTACCATGTCTGTCTTTTTTTCACACGACCTCTGTAAAAAATTCCAGAGCAAATTACCTACTGTTTTTCGGCAAACTCGGTGGGCCTCAGAGAAATGTAACCCCGTCCGAATGCGAATGTCTGTGATTGCCAAAAATGTTTTTCCAAAACACTTTTTCTTGTGTGTTTTGGTCAACGTGAACTACCGTACAATCTCTCGCTAGCGCGCCGGTATTCAAGTTTCTGCTTTCTGCGAACCAATAATGGATGTAGATGTGTTTGGTACACTGCGAAGAAATAAAAAAATGAAATCAACAAGAAGAGCCAAATCACGTAAACTGTTAAGGTCAGGTAAGATTACTTTCATTTCTGCACTCAATTACATAACGTGTAAATTATATAAGTTAAAGCTTTTTTATTACAGTGGGTTTATTATAAGAACCCAGTTTTATAAAATCTTGTTAAATTTGTGTTTAGTTTTTTTTAAATTACAATTTTACAAATGTTTACTTGCCATTGATCGGTCATATGACCATACGCAATCCACGCATCCTGAACACGTGATCTTCTGCAACGCCCACATGTAAAACACAGACACTTCTACCTCGGTGATAAACACGGAGATGTTAGTCCCGTCTGAATCCGTACATGAAATCACAGACGTCGGCTGATAAGAATTGTAACTCAAACGTCGTTTGGAAAACTAGTCCCGTCCGAATAGGGCTTTAGTCTTTGTAATAGTCAGCAGTCTGCATTATTTCAATGTTTTTTTAAATAATCATGTTTAACACCTGACTTAGAGGTGAAAAACTACATTACATCCATTACTTTGTAAAGAAATCTCCAGCAATCAGAGAGTGATGACAAGCAAATTGTGCCAAAAAACAGCCCACTACCATAAAGCACTGTGAGTTAGGCTAGGGGTGTATTCACACCTGTCTTGTTTGGTTCGATTGAATCGAACTCAAGTTCCTTTCCCACCTTGGTGCGGATCTTTTGGGCAGGTGTGAATATAGCAATCACACTCGGGTGCGGACCAAACAACCTTACCGAGACCCAGCTGAAGAGGTGATCTCGGTCCACTTCCAAACGAACTCTGGTACAGTTCGTTTAAGGTGTGAATATGACCCAACCTCGATCCGACACAATTGCAGAAATCACACTCAGAAACACAGCTCGCACATGTAGTGCTGTTGTTTGCATTTCAGTGACTTAAATCACTTGTTTTTAAACCACAATGCTTAAAATGCATGCAAATGATGAGTTTTTGTGACCATGGCGCACAGAAATTTGACGTGAGTGCGCTAAACAGTTACCATGAATATGTTGGGGGAAAATAGTAAGGAGATTTTTGAATTTATTAAATAACTAGTGTTTTCTGAGTCAGTCTCGCAAATATTAAATTGATGATCCTGACTCGCCATCTCATCTTGGACGCGAAAAGAAATGCATCTTTACGGATTACATAATAAAAGAGTTTTTTGGATTTGAATTATTTAGTTTTGTGGTCATTTAAAGCTTTCTATAGATATATTCATCATGTCTGTAAGGAAAATATTCGTTAAGTTTTGTTTCATTTTTGTGAAGCGCTCCTGTTCAACACCGAGACGGCAAGCGCATCCTATTTGTTTTCTTTATTTTACAAAAGCACAACGTTTTGTTGATATTGTGAGTGCACACAAATAAAAGTAGACCCTTTACATTTCCGAACGATGTATTATTCTTACCTGTATGAGAAAAAATGACAGCGTATTTCATTTGTTTCCACTGATGTCCTGAAGCGCGTTTCAGCTTCCACTCTCCGCACAAACGATTGGATATGTGCCTAATAGCGCACATTTATCTAGGTTAAATGTTTAAACTAACATTGTGATATGCTTTAAGTATTTTATCTATAGATTTTCTTTTTGATAACACCAAATCAGTAAAAGAGTAAAAATTGCTCTACGAAAGATGATTAACCTGTTTACACACTTCCTGTTTTCCCTGCTTGAGAATTTCTGTCCGATGAATGGATGACCTTAGCACACGTGTGGTTTTGTTTACAATTGAAGTGATGTATTTTATTAAAGGTGGGGTAAGCGATTTCTGGTAGCCAATGTTGACATTTGAAATTAGCAAAACAAACACGCCCCTACCCCAAAAGGGTCTTGCCCCTATTTTGATAGCTCCGCCCCACACATTCGTACGCAACCCAGGCAACGATTAGTTCTGTGAAACAAAGCAAAACCAATGTTACACCGTGTCTACACCGGACGCGAGTGGCGTGGCGCGACACGACAAATCCCAGACAGAAAACTGCTGCTGCGTTCTATTTATGACGAATTTACACAAATTTCAAATGATTTTCAAAGGTCGCTTTGTCGCGTCCAGTGTACTAGACAGACTTTAGCTGTTGCGACGCAGACACGGTGTTACTCACCTATCGAGAAGAAACAAAGCAACCTCGGCGTCCGATCACAGGCCTTCCGCTCCTTGAGTTCTCTCCAGCGCTGGAAAGCTGATCCGATATTTACTCTGGTTCTACTTCTTGCCTTATTGCCGTAAACCTTCTTTTGTTCCGCAGACGTTTTCCTCTTTTGTTTTTTATCCGCCATCTCTATCTTTCTGTCGCTCGGCTAATGTCCGTCCTGTGCACTGAACGCTCTCTCCTCCACATCATGAGTAGACACGCCCCTTACTGCTGATTGGCTACAAGTTTGTTTTGCTACTCGGCCTGAATCAGTTTTCTGATCGCTTACCCCACCTTTAAGAGCTTGCAAGCTTTTCTCATTGAGACGACACTCTTTCTTCACTGTCCAGTCCTGTAGTTTTCCCTGTTCTGTTCTATAGTCCCTAGTGTCCATTAAAGACATATTTCCAATAATACCGTCCACAGGCTCTAACAGGCTTGTCCCTTCACTTAGACATTAGCCAGATGCCATCAGACATCCCTGGTCAGTCAGCACTTTTATTTTGCTCCTGTGCTTGTGTATGTGCGCAAGCTCACTCATTCATGTTTGGTCCATGTTGTAGTATGCACTCAACTCCTCAATATTATCTGGTTCTCCTTTCTAAAGTTTGACTCACA